GGTCGAAGGCTTAATAGCCCCATTTTAGTTGGGTTTGGTAGTCGTTTTAGGCTTGCAAATAAAGGTTGTGTATGTGGACACTTGTGAGAGATATTCAATCTGTAGTAGACCATTTTGACCCTTTATTGTGCAACCGTTCAGAACTTGTAAAGTCTGTTTGTAATTTGCATTGGCTATGAAGTGTTTTCTGAAATGTTTGCTTGTGGATCCCAAGTAAGGCTCTTTCTCTAACCTATTTTCTCTTTTGTATGTCCTAAGGGACCATAGGAGGTTTCGGGGAGGCTAACATTTACGGACGGACACGCAAGTGTGCCACACGACTTAGGCAAAACCAGCTAAGTCCGTGACAACACGTAAGTTCATTATGTATACATACAAGATACGATTGTGACTAGTATGAAAAAATTGCATATACACACAAACATTTTGAATATATGAAATTACATATTTTATTATTAAAAAATAAAGTTTACATATTTGTTTTCAAGGATTTTAATTTCGCCCGGACTAGTCCAGGTGTGAGTTGAGACTCAGATAACCCCATATCGGACAATTCAATATCTGGGCCAGTCCTTGTGAACTTGTTCCCCCCCTCTGTGTTGTAGCCCACCCATTGCCTGTTGAGTCACTTAGGATAGTTCTCCTTTCCTTTTGCATTTTCTCCATATGCTCTTTCTCCACCTCCTCCCTCCCTCCTCCTTCCCCCTTCTTATTTTGCTTCCTTCTACTTCCTCTTAATTCTTCTTCCGTCCTCTCCCTCGACAAGAACAATGGTCCCAAGGTACATGCCGACATACCATGTGTTAGTACATCAGCATTGACCAGACCCGTGTCTATCCGGTCATCAATTGGCCCCCCAAAACATAATTTCTTGATCATATCAGTTTCAGCTTATTAGATGATTTTATAATTTATCTTGATCAAGTACAACATCAATCATGTTATCTGGATGAAATCATAAACCTTAATGAAAATTATTAATAAATAAGAAAAGAAGAAGAGAAGAATATAGCATGAGATCTCCCTCTATCGTAACCCCGAATATAAGCCAGTAAGGAGAGAGAAAGAATTTAACAAGAGATATCCCTCCCTCCCTTGTAAATCCTAATGTAAACTAACTGGAGAACAAGAAAAAAAAGGAGAGAAGAATGCAACAAGATGTTTCCCTTATGTGTGCAGGTAGGAAATGGAACTAACGAATGAACAGAACAAAAGATCAGTGTGGTTAACCTACAATGCTAAAGGCTCTCGCAATTAAGGAAGCTTGGAATAGTGTTAGAAACTGAGGAAACAGAGAGCATAGTAGGATAAAGTTGTTTACGCTAAATGTTCAATGACATTATTTCATCTTGTAGATAGCTGTTAAAGATCGTCTGCAAACTCAATATAGATTCTTGATCAAAGTAGTCCAGCTTCAATCTCCAAAGGGTTTAACCAAACCAAACAAGAACTCGATTCTAATCATATCCACAGTAGAGGGAAAGGTGGTACCATATGCTACTCAAGTTAGGACGATGAGTGAATGTTTTCAAGCATAATTGTCCATCATTAGCAAACTGGAGATCCCAAATAACCCAAGAATAACACAGCTACTAGCTAAAGAAGTCCTCAAAGGTAAGGATGAGAAGCGAATTATTTAGAGTTAACAACCTGGGATTCATCATGGCATTCGAAGCATCAAAATCCCAAACTCAGTGCCTGCTCCGCGTGTAAGACTCTGGGCATTCAATCACAAAAGACTCAGCATGGGGAAAGATCATCTACACGCAAGAACTCATCCAAACATTACCCATTGATGGCACTGACCTTCCATGGGGCAAAGACGACCCACGAGTTGCAGCGTACACCACCGCCTTCATATACCCGGTTCCCAGCCCACCGTCGCGCCCTCCCTGACCTGCCAATCCAACCGGGCGCCATCAAGAAACCAAGATCCGCAACCTTTCGAGAGAAATCTAAACCATCTGAGCGGAAAAGACTCACAATCTGCGCACCGGGGGTCCCCAGGAACGCTGATTCTTGACTTCCCACGCCGCACCCTCTGCGCGAGTCCTGACGATCGATCCCGCAACGAAGATCGTCATCGTCGTCGCCTCCACCTGATTCAAGAAGGCAACAATTCGACCCCGAATGTGGAAGGAGATCTTGAGAGCTCCAGAAGCATAGGAAGACGGTTCGATTGAGGAGGTGGACATTACTGGGGTTAAGCCAGGCAGGAGTCGAGAGAAATGAGAGGGAGAGAATGTCGAACGGCGATCTTGCTTTTTATGTGTTATATATATATATATATATATATAGAGCGACTTGTGGTATTTGGGATGTGAGGGATTGGCGTATATATGTCATAAATCAAAAGTCTAGGGGCTATTTTGTGAACTTATTAAATCATATTTTATATATTGGTCCCTCACTAATTCTTTTTTTTTTTTTGCATAGAAGTCCCTCTTAGATAAGAATTAAGATGTAGGGTTCTTCTGGTCCAGGGTTTATCGTTCGCTTCTTCGTAAAAAAATCCGACCCTCTTCGACTTCGCCTAGCCTCGCCCGCAAGATCGATGGCGGAAACCCTAGATGTCGAGACTGCACCGATCGGAGAAACCTCGGCCTCCTTGCCCGGCCTCGTTTCTGACACCCAACATGTTGAACAGGCGAGTGATTTCGAGCCAGGAGACAACTCTCTTGAATTGGAGGAGAAGGCCCCTGATGCAGCGGTAGAGAAGGGGGAAGATAGAAGAGAGTTAATCAGGACTCGCTATTCGAGGAAGGAGATGGAGGCGATGAGGTCTAGGGGCGTCAGAGAGCAGCGGCGGTGGTGGGAGGAGGTGTACGAGGGGCTGGGTGAGGTCGTCGGTCGAGATTACGATGGGCTTCGCGCGGATACCACTCGGAAGCAGAAGCGCAGGGGAAAGAACAAAAAAGCAAAGGCCTCCCCTGTTGTCTGTATGTTATTTCTTCCTAAGAATTTCAAAAAATCATGCTTTTTCTACTCTCTTACCTAAAGACTCTTTAATGATTTTTGATTGATTTCAGTCTTTCATGTGAATTCGAAACATACAAAAATCAAACAGCGGTTACATTAAAGAGGATTATCGCATCGTACTCTCTTTATCTGTTTACTTAGTGTTAGTGTCCCACTAGATGGCTCTGGTTTGTGTGACTGTGCCTTAAATGAGATGTCGATAGGTGCTTTAAAAAACAATGAAAAATGGAACAAAGTTCATGTATTGATCACAGTTTTCATGAAGCTAGCCTGATCGCAGAAGACTATTTCTGATATACAACAACAAAAATCCGTAATCCACCAACTATTTGGATACATACCTATTGAATATCCCTGGTAAATATAGGAGTCGTTGAGATGCTGATAGGAAAATCTCCCTATTAAATTTAAGAGCAGTCATCCTACCTCTCCTGAGCCAATGATCCTAATTGGCTCACCTTCTCAATTATGATTTTGTTATTGGGCATGTAGAATGGGATTGAGGCAGTGCTTGTTATTGTTATAATTTTTATAGTTACTACATCAGCTTAAAAACTCCTATTGCATAAAGTTCTTGTTGTTAACTTGGTTGATGCTTGTCCGAGAAACATGAATATAAAATACATACTTCCTACCATTTCAGGTGAAGAATTTTCTGTAAATGCTTCTGAAAGTTTGGATCTGTTGGATTTCTCTGAGATTGCTTGCGATGATGCTAATGTTGGTAGTCAGAATGGCCAATCTGTAGAAGAATGGTGCCGTGACAATGAATGCATAAACAATGAAGATGACAGCAGTGACGATGAGCCTGACAGTATTCAGAGGCCTGCCTTTCTTGTTGAAGGTGAACCTGATTTTGATTCTGGTCCACCATTAGATGGGATAGAGTACCTTAGACGGGTCAGGTAACTTATTTAACACCCTCCTGACAGTTTCCCATATATGTATTTGGTATGGACATATGCATTATCAAATACATGCATGAACTTCCGTCTTTCCTACTTGTAAATCATTGAGTTTTTTCTTCTACAACTGGGATTTGATCTTTTATAGCAAATTCTGGTGGCTCATGATTTAACTACTAAAGTTTTCTTGTATGGAGAATGGAAATGCTTGTCAATTATTGTAGTTATTTGCCATCAATTACTTTTTTTTGCTGCATTTTGTGTAGAAATACACAAGTTCCCTTTTTTTTACTGTTCATGACTTAAAGTGATGAGGCATGAAAGGAAAGCTTATCTGCCTGTTCATGTACATATTTTATTTTCAGCCTCTGTCAGTAATGTTTCTAGTTTCTTTCTCGTGGATTCCTAGGCTTTCCCAAGTGACTATTGGTTTCTTTAGGCCTTTCTACACAATTTACCTCTCTTTTAGGTGAACTCACAACTTTATGCTGTTTAATGGGCGAGGTAATGATGTTCTGTAGTTTGCCTGTACAGAAAGGATAACTTCTCTCCGATAAGGAACTTATAAATATATTGAAAAAGAAATTCACTTGCATTATTAGTCGTATTATTATTCTTAAGGTGCGAGAGAAATAAATGTCAGTCACCAACCTACTGTTTCTGTCCATGAGGTCACTCTCTGAATTCTAAAAGATAAACTGATGCTTATCGATTTCTTCCGACTTAAGGGAATTTGATGCGGGCAACTCGTTATCTGGTGAATAAATATGAGGAGATAGTTGATATGATATTAAATAATAGTACAAATATCTTGCTAACCTGGTAAAGCACCTTACAGGTGGGAAGCTGCTCAAATTCCAAAAGTGAAAGTGGCGAAGCTCAAAGTGAGTAAACGAAGCAGTGAACAAACACCTTATATGCCTAAAATACCAGAGTTTGAGAAGTGCCCTTGTAACTTGTTTCCATCTAAACTTTGGGAAGATGCTTTCCTTGCTGAATATTCAGAGATAAGACAGGTATTTATCTCACCCATTATTATTTGTTGAATTAGTACTAATAATGCCAAAGCATGTGATGTGCTTTGGTGTCATTGATTAACTTCAGAGTGGATCATTGTTGCTTATCCATGTTGGCAAATGCTAACCCAGTGAATTAATGAAAGCTCCTCTCAAACATTTTCTTCTGAACTACTAGCAAATTTTCAACAATCAGTAAGCAATTTTTTATTCAGCATCTGCTATGTAATATATTCTTGATCTTCCATTGCTATTCATACAACAAGTGCTCTCTATGTGATTATTTTTCTCACAGATGTATCCACCGGATATTGTCAGTACTGCAATCTAACAATGTGATCTTCCATTGTTTTTCAGTAAGCTGCTGGCATATTATCAACTGATCATGTTATCAGAGTACAGACAGTTGATTTTTTTTTTTCTTTGCGTATGTTAACATTCTCCAACTACGATGTGAGTGGATCACATGACATTTTCATGAAGACTGCAATTTGATTATTGGATCACCTAAGAAATGGTATATAAGAGGATATATGCTATCATTTTCTCAGTTGTGTGGCAAACTCAAGCTCGGAAATCTATCCAAGCAAGCTAAAAAGCAGAAGTAATGCTGTCAATATATAAACATCTTACATAAATAGCATGAACCAGTAGAAAACTTACAAAGCTGAAAGAGTGACTGTGACTGAAGTTATGACCATGCAAAGTTTCTGAGGGACTCCCACCAATACGGAATTTAGGAGGGTCAATATACATAGTTTTATTTCTACGAGCAGTGAAGCCTCTTTCATGGCTTGAACTTTAATTGCCAGATTATGAAGGAACCCGGGCTCATCTTAAAAGGTTATATATTATTAAAACTAAGTAAATTAGAATATAAGATACAGAACTAGTGGTTTGATTCATATTTAATGGCATTAGATTAACTGGTAAAGTGCTTATTTGTCTTTTTTGAAAGAAATAGTTTTTCTCCTTTTTTTTGTACTTCACATTATTTCATGAGCTTTCTGCTAATTATTTTTTGCCATTGACTGTATCAGGCTTTCTCAGAGCTGGAAGATTCTTGTGACCAACTTTTCTCGACAAGTCACGATAAAAATGCTTGTAAAGACCCTGACCATACACACAAGCCAGAGAGTTTTCCAACGATGTCGTTCTTATGCCGCATGGATGCTGTTTCCCGAGCATCAACACTGAGGAACTACATAAGCATGTTTGAGAGTGCAGATGTACTGTCACGGGATGACTGCTTATGGTTGTTTGCGCTCTCAGTAGTAGTGGACACACCACTTGATGCAGATATGTGTTCTTCTATGAGGTGCTTGCTGCGAAAGTGCTTGAGTCTTCTTGCTAGAAAATCCGAGCCCGATGATGAGGTTGCTATGCTGAACATACTCGTCTCAATCACTGGCAAATACTTTGGGCAGTCTGAGAACTAGACACAGAGAGAGACTAAGATATTTACAGAGAGAGGATGAAGAAGAAGCTAACACTGTCAAAAAATAAGAGTGAGATCGAATACTTGGTTTAAAGAAATCATAAGTTCACTTTTTAGTACACTATTCTATCTGCAGAAGTATAATCCTGCTACAATTTTGCATCTCTCTGTGTAGTACGTAGCACTTTTTTGGTGTGAAGCCGCTTCTGCACCTGTAAGGGAAAATTGTTATTTTCCCTCGAAACAACATATTTTGTGTTCAGTTTTATGTTGTACGTAATTGTGATTTTGATCGTAATGCTGTTGTTTGGGTTGACAAGTCATGCATACCGCGATGACTGCCTGTGGACGATAAATATAGGGCTCGAACTGATGCTTGTGGCACTCTGGACGTTTGACTTCAATTGTTTTAAGGAAACAAGTGCTTAAGACCATATTATTAGATGCATAAGCTTTGGCAAAATAATGATTCCTCAGCTCTATGATTGATTAAGTTGATCATTAATCTTTTCTTCCGTCATAGACAAATAATAAAAATCTATTTTAGCTGCCATTGGGTGATCAATCAACTCTTACGTTTACCTGATCACCAATAACAACAAGAACATGAAATCAACATATCATAGTATGAACTCTTATGGATTTATGTACTTCTTTTATTGGGACCAATTAGTGGAGCGGCAGAAAGCCACCATTATGTATACATCCCGCAGCTACCCCTCGGGACATCGACGAGCTCGTTCATAGCCTTCACCTGCATCTCCACCGCCGCCTCCTCCAATAGGCTCTGCGCCGGCAGCTTCCGGCACCCGGGCACCAGCTAGCCAAGCGCCCGTAGTCGCTCTCTCACCCTGTTCCCCCTCGGCGGCGGACCCTACCACCGGCCTTCAGAAAGAGCTTGCCGCCTCGGCGGCCGAGCAGGATGGATGGCGCGGCTCCAGCGGGACTGGCCGCAGGCGGTGAGGGCGAGAGTGGAGTCCACCGCTCCTTGACGGCGCGGGGGCCCGACGCCCTCCGGCTGGCTCGGGCGGAGCGAAGGGCCTCAAGCAGGCGGCGGCGGTAGGCCCGCTCTCGGACGCCGGTTCGCCACTGGTTCTTCGAACGCGAGGGCTTCGTCCGAGCGGCGAAGGCGGCGGTGATGGTGCTGCTGATCATTGTACGATGGTGGTGGCAACAAGATATGTCGAGATGGACTTCATTAATGAAGCAAGCGACGAGGTTTGGACATGCATTTGTTCAAGTAACGCAGTGTTCGTCTCTTTAATTTCGAGGATGTGTATTTAAATTATGATTTGTGTGTTGCCAACTCTAAATTGCTACTTAATATAAACAATTTTAGATGGCATC